CTGTAATGACTACTGGCAAATATGACAACACTGGACTAATTTGACTTCCTATCGAGGTTCCGTCGACTTGCTTCCAGAGTTTTTTGAGCGCGACAAAGAGTCCGCAGTTGAAACTAAGGCGGACAATCAGTGTAAGGTCAGCAGGGTCCACTGTTTTCCAATCCATTTATCTGCGAATATTGGAAAGTTTGCCCTGCACCGACCGAAGGTGCTTGCTTCTCTCGTTGATGCAAACAGACAACTGGACGTCAGAATGACTGGCTTGAAACATGCGCACCAACATGTCAACAGCTTCAAGAATCCGAGCTTGAGGCGCAGAGTTAAAGAACCCCACCAATCGTCATTCAAAAGCTCAAGATCAAGGTGCACAGGACATTGTGCAAATAACGCATGTATTTCAGACCAAATTTGGGGGACGCTGCGTGACAACAAACCTGGCCAGACTGTTTGCACCATCTGGTCAATGCAGATGGCTGCAGCTCTCAGAATAAGTCTCAGGGCTGTATTCTTGTAGCTGATGATTGTCCGTTCTGACTTTCGCGGTGCCTCTCTCACCTCATTCAGCGGTACAAGTCCATCCTGGTCCCGTTTCATCTTCCACCCAAGACCCCTCGAGAGCGCGCTCCCATGTCTCTGGGATCGATTCTTCATAATCATGTTGACTGGGAGAAGAAGTTGTCTGAGGTGTCGATTGATCAGCTTCCGTGCAAGTGCGAACAGTGTGAGCTTCAGCACCCCAACATTGACATGGTGGATGGACATGTGGCTAGTGCTACGAGAACTTGCTTACGCCAACTCGAAGTCGCTTGTATTTCCGAGTAAAGCCAGGTATTTTAAGCAAGCTTCGTCACATTTTATTGCATTGGAGACATTGTCATCCTGGATGCACTTCGTTCATGAACAATGGAACATTCATCTTCGACATCTTCGCCATCAGCCAAAGTTCCAGGAGTCCCATGCGTTGAAGATGAAAGACATCATTTGCAAAGACTTGGTGGTGCATTTGGCGGATCCTGAACCCACTCATTTGATGGTCTTTTGTCCCAAGTTTTATTTTCAGTCATGCTTTCGAGTCTGGTCAGACGAGAAAGTCTTTAAATCTATGTCCATATCGGTACCAGCTGCAAAACTTTTCTTGCGCTCGCATATTCTCGGACGTTGTTCGCAAATACCCTTACAGAACATATCAGACCTTCCGAAAAGCAAGAAGATCCTCAGGGACGAAACATGACGAGCGGAAAACCCATCTTTCATCTGTGGCTCTGGCAACATCACGAATGAAACTGCAGGCATGGTCACCTTCTATACCACGAAGAAAATCCTGGTGTGTGGGGGAACAGGCGCTCCCTGCCTATTGTAGGCATGACCAAAAATGCGCAACGTATGCGCACTCAGAACGCCACCGTACTTAGATGCCGTCTCTTGTGCTTGCTCCGGATCATTCGGGTGAGCCCTTGCGTAAAAGGAAACTGGCGGTGCCCACGTGTTGTCCGGGTTGTCCCAATACGACGGTCTGATGGTTCCCTCCATGAGAATCAAGCGAAACTGTAGTCTAGCCAGCGGCTGCCACTTCAGAACGTACGCGATTCTGAGCAACATGTCCAAACCGAACATGTAAGCACTTGCAAGAACTTGTCAGCGAAGACAAAGTGACTGACTGAATATTTGCAGCCTGATCAGCTGCTGCCACAGCTTGCGACACGTACTTGACTGCACGCATGTGAAAATAATCAGTGGCGCTATTCAGCAACGTGACTGGAACGACAAGCTCGAGGTTGGTGGGGAGTTTTCTTTGGAACTCTGAAGCAGATTTCATCTGACCCGGACTTGAAGCCATAGCACTCCTCAATGAGCTGAACATAGCATACAGACTTGCCCAGTCAAACGATGCACTCCAGACTGGGATCACTCTGCCTTCTTCATCACGCACTTCCAATCCACGAAGTTCAGGAACCACGTAGAAGTTCGGATTTTGGGACCATTCTACTTCGAATTGATCACGTAGCAATACCTTGTTTGTGATCTCCCCAACAAAGTTCTGATCACCACTCAATTGCCAACCCATGCGATCTTGTCTTGATCCCGGAATCTTGCTACAAATCTCCATCAAGCGAATGCTGGACGGATCAGCTGGTATGGCATGCAACTGCCATAAACGTTTTGCAGGTTGGGTGGTCTGCTCAACTCGAGACTGCGGGGCAAGTTGAGGACCAACTGCTTGTTGTTGAACATCCAGAATCTCATTCAATCCAGCATAAGCTTCACGGTGATTTCGCACATGCATCAAGTTCGCAGCCATCACTGCCGAGTGCTCTGTGAAATCTGCTGCCGACCTGAACGAAAGGCGATATCCATTGGCATCAGCATGTAATGTAATGGCAGGTGTCACATCCTCATGCCGTGCTTGAACAGGGTGCGTCTGCACTGTTTGCTGACTGACCGCTGCAGCAGGACTGACCGCTGCAGCGGGCGTGGACGGGGAAACCTGGAGGTGGTGGGGGAGGGGGAGGGGCACTTAGGAGTGGTGTTTTTGGGCTAAAGTGGAACTGGGAGGAGGAAGGGGAGGGGGAGGCGGGGGAAGAGGGGAGGAGGAGGTGTTGCGGGGTCACCTTTGCTGACCACAGAACTTGTCCCATGTTGGTGTGTGGTCTTTCGCATTGCGTCCGCTAACTCTTTGGCAGCAATCTCTACGGTACTGAAGCCGGAGACCTGCGACAAGTCAATGAGAAACTCACCTGGCACAATCGAAGTATTACAAGAAAAGTAGGAAATCAATGTTGGAGTCACTTTCAAGACTGACTGTTAACTTGATTGACACTGCTGCCAAACAGACGGATGAATCAGTTGACAGTCAATATGCAAGCCAGGATATGAAGTCAGGTAAAATCAACCGAAGCTCATGCAGGCAGTCGGGAAAGTCAGCACCAGAGCAACCTCTGGGAGACACGGCGCCCGTAGGGAATGCCGTTGTGAATCACATGTGACACAATGTGTCACAGGTCTCGAAATCCGCGTCAAGAACTCAGCTCAAGGAGATCGCACTCTAGGGTTACTGATCTCGAGGATAACCAATATCCAGCGAGAGTACATACATGACGTCACGAGGGAGATGCAAGTACGTGGCCAAGGCGTTCCTCGACCATATCCTGATGTGTGACTGGAGCTTCGTTGCACCAGGCCAAGCCACACTTCCCTGGTGCCCCCGCGGAACTCAATGAAACAGTAAAAGCTCTTTGGTACAGAGTTGGACGGACACACACACACACACACACACACACACACTCAAACACACTCACACACACACACACACACTCTCTTGTTTGCCTTTGAACTTGCATTCTGGTGGTGTTATTCTAGCATTCTAGCAATCGTGGTTGACGAGACACCGCGTCAGACAACCGTTTTCCCCGACGGGTACCCAAAAGAGCTACGACGGACGAACCCTCTTTCTTTTTGGATGGTAAGAAGCGCATTCGCGCCGGGTCCGTCGCAATCGCCAGTACTAGGCAAGCCGGCGCCGGGGGACGCTTTTAGCTGCCCCGGCCCGCTGCCCGCCAGCGAGCGACGACCCGAAGGTCTCAAAATAAAAACCAACAAGGGCGGTGAGGGTGGGAGCTGAAAATCGTCGGGGGACGTGGAGCAGACAGCGGCTGCAGCATCCACGTCGATTCGACGGTTGTCCCTACGCACATGAATGTGCTACACGACAACCGTTTTCCCCGACGGGTACCCAAAAGAGCTACGACGGACGAACCCTTTCTTTTGGATGGTAAGAAGTGCATTCGCGCCGGGTCCGTCGCAATCGCCAGTACTAGGCAAGCCGGCGCCGGGGGACGCTTTTAGCTGCCGCCCGGCGCTCCCCTCACCCACTCTGCGCCGGCTTAGCCCGCTCACACCGCCAGATTCAGTAGCTCATCGGCGGCGTCGTTGACCGCGAAATCCAGACGGCCGTCGGGGAAGCATTGGGAAGCCGGCGCCAGTCACCGGATCTGCGTCGGGAAACATCTCTCGCACCGTTGATTTTGGTGCCCTGTGAGAGGATCCCGACGGTGCTGGCGGCGTCGGCGACGGTGCCGATGCGGCCGGCCTGGCTTTCACCTGAGGCTCGACGGTGCGCTGCTGTCTCGACTCCTCCGCAAACTGCCGACGGAGCTCCTCGGCGATGCGGTCCTGGTAGTCGACGATCGGCACCGACGGCGACGAGGTAGCCGGCGAGGTAGACGGCGGCGCTCCCGGGATCACCGTCGACGACGTGATGCGGTCCGGGAGCACCGTCTGGTAACTACCGGCGTCGGCCGTCGGGATGTTGTGCTTGTATGCCAACTCCGCGTCGGTCCGACAGAGGAACCCAAGCTGGTCCCAGACCTGCGGCGGCCCGCCTTTCGGCACCGACGGGGCCGGTCGGGTGGGTTTCTGCGGGTACCCACCCGACGGCATTCCTGCCGGTGGCATGTCTGCTGCGGACGGCGGTGCGCCGGCAACCCCCGCGTGCGCCGATGGAGGCGCTTGGTGTCGCTCGACGGGGGGTTCCGGGCACGGGTCGTCCGACGGCGACGGATTGGCCGCCGTTGCTCCGCCAGGACTGTTAATGGCCGCGACGAGAGCCCTCCTCTCCAACCCACTCCATTCGGAGAAGAGTTGGGAGAGGTCATCGCCGGAGGCCACAGCCCGGCGGATCATGTCCATCGCGGCGACGACGTCGGCCGACTGGTACGTCATGGCGACGAGAGGATCTACCGGAAAGCTGAAAATCGTCGGGGGACGTGGAGCAGACAGCGGCTGCAGCATCCACGTCGATTCGACGGTTGTCCCTACGCACATGAATGTGCTACACAACAAATCCCGTGAACATGACAAAAACGAATCTCATGTTAGGTCGCATCAATTTGGCATGGTTTCGACGGTGAAACATGTTTTCGTCGACCTTCCTTCTACTGGAGTCCCAGTCAGCAACATGAAAGTCTCAACACCAAAATCTTCAGCAAAACTGCATCTGCAGCCTGTGATGGCTGAGCTTTGGCTTTCCATTGTCTGCAAGAAGACATTCATCAGACCGTCTGAAAGCCTAAGCAGAGTTAGAGAAGTTTTTCTGTGCACGGAACTGTTCTGTCTGAGCTTTGACTGTCTTGGTACCTGAGCCACACGGCTGCAAAGCCAGCAATGCGCAGGCAGGATTGTTCATATGACATACAAACATTGACTTCATGGTCAACAAGCACACACGGAAATTGAAGCAAACCTCAGGGTCGCCTTACCACTTTTGGCTCCGACCTGTTTCCGTCAGTCTCTGTGCGCAGCACAATTGTCAATCTCTGCTGAATATGCTCCGAGCTGAGGGCCTGTACACGCATTGGGTGAAACGGCACATGCTGGCCTGCATGGCTGTGATGGACCATCCCCGACTCTACGCTGAAGGGTGACCGAAGACAGACGTCATCAGCTGTTGCCAGAGACCGGCTGCACACAGCTTGCTTGAACATGCTTGAACCACTGAGCACAGGCCAGCGGGCCGGCCGCGGAAACCTACAATACAACAGTGCCGTCTTCCTGCCTGAAGCAGGGCTCTGATGTAGGGGAACATTTTGTCCAAGCGTGATCCGCAGTCAAGAAATTTGACTGGCTGAGTTAGGACACTTGCATCATTTTGCCCCTCCGCTGCAGCACAGCCGCGCAGCTGGTTGGAACTGCTGCCATTGCTCGGGAATTAACTACGAGCATTTTGAGCTCTTCGACAAACCCTACCTTGTGACGAGCATGGGCTTGCTCTCCTGCAAGCTTGAGGTGAAGGCTGCAGCTTCTCGCATGTCGAGGCTGTTGGACTGTGTGATGCACCGAGATTGGTCAGACCTTTCCAGTGGCGCAACACGACAGAAAACAGCGACGGCTTTTTCATCCTCGTGCGCTCTGGTCTGGGGACATTGGCGGAAGTGGACTCCGGGTGAGAGCAGGGACTTTGCAGCTGGCTCGCCTGCAATATCTTCCCTGGGCATGCCAGGATGGTCAGACCCACTAGTCCCGCTTCGCCGATGTGCGGATTCAATGGAAAACTTACTCAAATCTTTGCGCTGTGTTGGATCAGGGCTGCGGTCGTCGCTTCGGTCAGTATAGGATCAGTGCAGGACGTCTCCAACTCAGGAAGCTCGGGCAAGCCACTGGGAACGTGAAGCAGCGAACACCTCCTGGGCCATAGCCGCGAATGCCTGAAAGAAAAATGCTCCAAGCTGATCAACCGTCTCTTCAGATGCATCGCCGTGTGACCTACCAACTGAGGCCACGGCAGCAAGTCTGAGCTTGGACGCAATGTGACAGGAAGCGAGTTTAGACCGTGCCCTGCTCTGCCTTACTGTTCACTCCTTAACCAACTAGCTGGACTTTACCGCAAGCTGCTAAATGTGTGCTCCATCTGCAGTCTGTCGTGCCTGATGGAGCATGCGATCTGCGACGACAGGGGCCACTGCAAGAGCTCAGACGAACTCGAAGCTGAAGCCACTCATCGACGACCTTAGCGAGCGGTAGGATACATACTGTTTGCTGCACACTGCTGCAGCCTGATATTCTCCATCAATAAACCAAAGCCTTGCCAACCCACGTCGTGCTTCCCACGCAAGCCGTCGCTTCCCCGTGATTCCCAATCTCGAACCTGTGATGGTAGGTAGCATGCCCCCTCTGAGAGCTAGTCTAAGCCCGTAATTGCAGACGAAGCGCCAAACGTCGGGTCTGCTTGGAATGCGTGCTCAATGCAGTGCCAATTGCAGGCTCGGTGGCACGCCGGCTAGTATCCCTTTCTATAGACTGCAGTACCTGACTCGGGTTTGCAGCTGTCGACAATAGTGTCATGGGTGTGTACGAGTGCTCGTCGCTCGCGAGAAGAGTAGGTCGGCTTTGGACCCATCGGACCAGAGTCGCCGAGCAAGGCATCCTCCAAGCGTAAAAATGGTTTCTTGTGCCAGGAAAGTTGCGGGCCCGCTGATGAAGGAGGCAGCAAACCTTTGAAATTCGCTAAATGCACACGAATAGTCACCGAAAAGAACTCCGAGTCTTTGCTACTCCCGACTTGTGCCAGTTGCAACACTCCATCTTCTTCCGGCTAGCCTTGACGTATCCCAGTTCTCGAGGCAGCTGTGCGCTCCTGGCATCCGTGCCACTGGCCCACACAGTTGCCGATGCACACGTCCCATCTGATTGGAGCACGATTTACACGGAATGAGGCTTGCGCATCCTGGAACACGTTTCCGAAGCTTTTCGGCTATCATTTTTGTCAGCAGTCAATAAAGGAAACTCGTCTGCTGCAGCGTGCTCGTCTGTCGGTACACACCTTTCGATTGACAGGGGTGAAATGAATGCTAAAAGACGAGTACAATAGGTGCCAGACATGGATGGTAGTTGGGCAACTCCGGCATGGCATGTCGCAGCACTTGGAAATTCTTTTCCAATGCAAAACCAAATCAACTGCCGACTACGAGGCAAAATTCTTGGCATATGCGGCCTCGATCGCACAAGCTCATCTCTGCCTTGATGAAGGAAAGCTCGCTTACACAGACAAACATTTTGCTGTGCCGGCCGACTGTCGACCCCTTATGCTGGCGCTGTGCGGCCTTCTCCAATCAAATTCACTCGTGCAGTGCTACTAGCTGAGATCAACTTGCGGCACATGGAACCCCGATCGAGGTTTTTCACAATATTTCACAATCTGGCGCGTGGAATTGGACATGTCTGCGGAACTTCCAAGGAAGTGTCTGAAAGAGGTGCGAGGGATATACTGTTGTGCGTGAGGCATGAAGGTTTCGAACTTTCACAGCAAATACCTTCAACGATGAGCACAACTGCACATCATTGGAACGGGACAGTGTCCAAGCTAAAAATCCTTTCAATGGGCACTCGGGTTGCTCGGGGAGAGGCTGGCTATTGTGTGTGCCTGTGTGTGGGGGGGGGGCGTGGGGGAGTGTCGAACCCTATCTGGAAGAAGTCCAACACACGTGGTGCTCTCTTCCTTCGGCGTGTACGCCTTGTAGTTCTCTGGATACAGCGAGACATGTCCCAGGCATGGGAGCTGGGCAGATCGTAATGGTCTGTGTCTGCGAAGTGCCATGAACAGCGCCGGGACATGTACGAATCCTGCCATGGAGCCAAGCGGGTCTTTAGCAAGAGTCGGGTTGACAAGCGTCCTCGTGGAACCAGGGGTGCCACGTAATCGATCGCAACGGGCGACAGGCGCACATGCTGTGGTACTAGTGACTGCCAGAGTCCCTGGGGAATGAATGGAGCGAGATCCGCGGCAATGCCTACAGACCGGCTGTCCATGCACACAATGCCACCAGCTTCTATGCCGCTGAACTCAAGCACATGGCAAAATGACATGCGACAGTGGCTCCCAAACTGTGTCCACAGAGGATGATGCCGCTATCCCGGCACAGGCGCATGCAAGAGGCCAGGAATCCACAGAGGCTTCCAAGTCGCAGAGCCTCCTCCACAGGCTCAAAGCATTCTGCGGATACCTCGCAGAGGCAGCTTAGGCAGCTGGGGAGCCGTGGAGCGCGCACTCCGCCCGCAAACACAACCAGAGAAGTCCGACTCGGAGTCCTCTCCGCGGTCTCCTGGCATTCCCTTTCCCTTCGACTTCTGGGCACTTTTGGCAAAGAGTAGTGACTTTTCAAGGACTTGCCAAACTCGCCGGGCTCAAGTCGCACGTGCTGCGTGGTGAAACCCTGGAAGTGGCGACTGGGAACGAGGCGAGACCACATGCAGGCAAGAAACACAGGCTGCTGGAGCCTTTTGATGGCTTCCCGAATGCTTGAGGGAGCACATCCTTCGGCTGATGGCCCTGCCAACCAATTTGGCAGATTGTCTCCTCCAGTGCGAAATGTCAACATGAAAACAAACAACAATATCTACAAATGTCGCTGGAAAGGACCCCCATTTCCGCATGCACATGAAATGGTGCGTGGAGATACGGTCTCCCAGGAGACTAACAGCCATGAACGATCCAGGCCTTGCCTGTGGAGCCCGTCCTACCGGTGTGGCTGGGCTTGGGCTGCCAGTTGGTTTCGGAGAGATTGCGTTCGTGTCATAGGGATCGCTCTTGCACTCAGGTCGTCCTTCCTTGTGAGCGTTGCTTTAAAGAGGCACCTCCGGTAGCATGCCCTTGCCCTGCTTGTGAGCCACCCTACTGCAGCGGGCCTAGCGTCTCGAGAAACCCTGCATCGGGACCATCAGCACTGGAAGTGCAAACGCGAGCCGGGCATGCTCAAAATACTCAGCCGAGCGTAGTTCTGCGATGTTCTGCGGCTCTGCGAGCCGAGACGACTTTGCAAAGCGATATCCCTTGGCCTTACGAGGCTCGCGATGGGGTGGAGCTCATCGGTGTTGGTCTTTTCCACTCTACCATAACCACGGAGCTCAACATCGGAACGTGCCATGCGAACATGTCTGCCCTCCGAATCAGTACACATCGACCTGGAGATGTTGTGCATCCGTGTTGCCTGCCTGCTCTGTGGGTGAGTGTGCGATGTCTCTTATTACTGGTTGGGTGTTGAGTTAGTATTTGAAGAACGCCTTGTCATCAAGGCGCAAACAAGCTACGCCGAATAGGCTGGGACGTCCGTGAATCCTGAGCTCATGATGCACATCATCGTAGTCAGCCCTCAAGGCCCAATCAACGCAAACAGCCGGACCCCGAGATGCGGCGACACCTCGCGGTGGAAGTGTTGCGTTGCCCTTCAGCAGGGCCAGAGATGCCGGGGACGTCGCCTGATGCGACCCTCGCATTTAACGCGAAGGCACCGCGAGAGCTGCGACAGCTCCCGTCCTATGCCAGCCATGGCAACCAGTGAAGCTTGGTCTGGTGTGTAGCGTGCGCAGTCCCTCTTATCAGATGTTGTTTTTCCTGGACCTTCAGAGGCTTAGAACTAGGCGGGGGGGTCTGCTTCCAGCTGCACCGGCAGTGGCATGCGGTTGTGGACACGACGGCCGAAGCTGAGGTGCATCTGCTGCTCTCCTAGCAGCATGTTCTCAGAGCTCACCGGGTACGATGAAGAAACTATTGGGC